CGACCTAAACCGTGAGCTCACGAAGCTGGAGGAGCAGCGATGCTGATATGATTTCCTGGGAACACTAAACCGAGGCTTGCGCAACCGATGTTGCCTGTTGTCCAAACGATCGCTGCAAGCAGGACTTGCTACTAAACCAGATGTCCGCACCTGAGCTATGAGAAACCAGGCATTGTTTGGGAGTGGTAGCAGCCGTGGTCTCTTTAGGTAAGCACCTGCGGGCAAGCAACTACAGCAGATTTGCAACTGCTGGAAGTCTTCTTTCGTGAGAGCACTCGCGACACTATGAACTCAGAGCACCGCAGGCTAACATAGTCTGTTGAATTTCATTGACATATTGTTTAATGCTTTCGCGGAGACACATCGCGAAAAATCCTTTGAAGCACCTTGCTCCCGGAAGGCAAGACCAGGGCTTTGGCTCCGTTGTTTTTGTCGGCCTTTGCGGACAGGGTGACCCGTGCTGGCCACAGAGGTCTGATGCTCTCCAAGCTCTTCCGGTCTTTTTCCATAGGAGCAGCTCTGTTCATTCGGCGGCCAGACTGTTTACCAGAAGCACTGAATGACATCGATTTGCTTCCACTTTCCTTGATGAAGTAGCTTGCAGTGTCTAGCTGCCCCCAACCATGACCGACGCGGGATTAAGGTTCTGGCGAGGTGGTCTTTGGCAGTTTGCCCCATTACTGCTAGGCCAGGCGTGGGCGGCGCGGAGAAAGCATTGTTGCGTGCGCATGACAGACAAGTAAGGGAACATGAGATTGGAGCAGCCACAAGAGTGAACTTGCCATCGAATTCAAGTTTCGTCTAAACACGTGTCGGTTTGAGCCGCTGATTGGTTGGCGTTGCACGTGAATGTGCGGCAAGTCAATTTCGCGCAATTCTTGCGCGAAATTTGTTTGTTGACGTGCGCTTCGGCAAGTTGACACACTCCATCGCAAAGTGCAGCTTACCATTGCAGTCTTGGCGATTGGCGGTCATGTGGAGCTCAGCTTCGGGGGTTCCGGGCAAGTCTCGAATGCTCCAGGCAAGTCCCACGTCGGCTACCACGCGTCAGAGGCTGACTTGCTGGATGGTGCGTTTATGCCGGAGTATGCTAGTGGCCGGCTCGCTTTGAGCAGGATGCCAAGCAGTTCTGGAAGAGTTGCTCAATCCAGTCCAGTGGAACAGATGCCAGGTCCTTGCAACTGTGTCATGGGCATTCAGGCAAGGCCCTGACTCGGTTGGCTTAATTCCTGCAATTTCCTGCACAACTAGCCGCCTGACAACCGTGACCTAAACGCTTTTTCGTCGAAGCTTCACTCTACAAGCAGCAGGAGAAGAAAGTGGACTTAATCATAAGTAGTTGCAGATTGATGCGTGCACGGCACAGCATGTCCGACGGGAGGGAGGGCCTTTTGCATCCCGGTATTGGGCTCAGAGAAACAGATCCATCAAAGTGGCAAGCGATCAAAGACCCGGCGGATCGGTCGTAATTGGACCCGCATGCCTGGAATGACTTAGATCCTGCTACGCCGTATTAGTTGTCAGTTGGCCCCATTCCACCTCCCTGCCGTATCTTCAGAGGTTTATGCGTCAAATGTCACAGAACTTCTCATCGTGCAGGCAGTTGAGATCTCAGCAGGCCTTTGCCTCAGCGTTATGCTCATGAAGAGGCCGTTCTGTGCGGGGGTGCATCCATGTGCATCCTAAACCCTACACCCGGGAACCGGCCCCAAACCACACCCTGCGGATTTCCGGCTCTTACACTCGAAGCGAAACTCTGTGTCCAAGACGGCAGGCAGGCGAAGCTTCAAAGAAATTCAGTCACCAGCCCTCACCCTTTTGACCCCTTTTGTTGCCCGTGGCCCCAGAATCCCCGTCTTCAAAGCCTCAGACCGATGGCCATGGCAGTGGTCTCTGTGGATTCCGAGCGCTCAGACCGGAGTAGCCCGCTGAGCCGGCGTCGCAATTGGTCCCTGTCCGCTCTGCGGCGCCTTGGTAATAAAGAGGTCGGAGTATCTAGATAATAAGGGCCCCCTAATATCGTCTGTTTGTACAAACTGTAGCGTATGAAACTTTCGGGCTTTAGACTGATTTCGGAGGTCCGGGGTTGGGTTTTAGACGGTCTAGGCAAGTCTTCGCGTGTTCGGGGTTCAGGCTTTTGTGGCTTGGGATGTTCTATGGTGTCTGTGATTTTTTTCTGCTTCAGGGGCTCAGGGTTCGGGCGTGTGGCAATATGTTGTTCTTGCCTTGGCACCCTGATCAGGACAGCATCATCCGAATCGTTAGGTGCCGATGACGAGGCGGCAGGTATAGAAAATTATGTCCTGCTGGAGAAAATCGGGCGCGGTTCAAGTGGGCAGGTGTTCCGAGCTCGAAGAAAGGCAGATGAGAAGGAAGTCGCTCTGAAGGTCATGTCAGCAGCCAGTCCAGACGTTGTTGCCTCACGCCGCGCAGAGTTTGAGATACTCTCCCACCTGAGTCATCCCAACATCGTGCAAGGCTTGGACTTCTTCTGTTCAGACAGCACTGCAGTCATCGCCCTGAGCTACCACTCGGGCAGCACGCTGTATAGAGCCGTCAGGGACTCCGCATCTTCCTGCTTGATGGAAGCAGACTCGAAGCGGCTCTTTCGCAAGCTTATCTCCGCAGTTTCGTATCTGCACGAGCATCGCATCGTTCATCGGGATGTGAAGGCCGACAACATCCTGGTGTCGTCTGATCTTATGGACCTGCACCTGGTGGATTTCAACACTGCGAGGCCACTTCTGGAAGGTGGCGCTCTTACGATGACAGGGACCCCGGAGTATGCTGCTCCGGAAGTCTTGAACGGAGAGTCGCCTTCCGAGCAGCATGACGTTTGGGGTGCCGGCTTGTGCCTGCACTGGATGCTGGTAGGGGCACTTCCGCAGCGTGTCAGCACAGATCCGGTTGTTTTTGCGCCAGTGACATGCCAGGGTATGCAGTGGGAAGCCATTTCAGTGGAGTGTCGGGGTGTGGTGCAGCGATGCCTGACCATTTGCAAGCATGAACGTCCAGCAGCACTGCTGGTTCTGCAGCTCCCATGGGTAGAAGCAGAGCCGCAGGAGCAACCAAGAACCTCTTCCGATCAGACTGCCTCGCGATCTGCATGCATGATTGATGTCGCACCGCATCCATGAGCCCCAATTCGCATTGTAGGCTGACATAGTGTACGGCGAAGCTTGTGATTGAAACAGGCACAAAATGAATTTCCTGCGCAACTTGACTCCGTCTTGGAGCCCTCTGGTCCTCGTTCACTGTTTTTTGCAACCGGCTCTACAAGCCGCAAAGGGTGCAAGAACTTTGTTTTATGTTTTCGGCGGTTGCTTCCAGATGTGCCACAGGTGCGTAAAGCCCAGGCTTCCTGTTAAACAGGAAGTCTGTCAGGAGCTCTCACTGACTGACTGATTGAGAGCCGGCACATCAGCTGCACAAGCCCTAGATGGTTGAGGAGTCACCATACGCACCTGCCCATCTTCAATACATGTTATTCGGTTTTGCTGGCGGGGCAACTCAACCTACCTTTCTTCTCTCACATCCAGTGAGAACAAGATGCCCTGCCGCTTTTTTAATTGGCAGACGTAAAAGATGCATGTCATCGAAGTCATTTTAACTACTGTGCTCAAGGGGTGTGAAGCCCCGGTCGATTGCTTCCCATACCCCCTGTGCATCAAAGGCGACCTGCTTCAAGTCAACTGTGCAGCTGCGCAGTGAGTCAAAACGAGATTGCACTGCACAAGGCGCAAGAGTACGCGGACTAAGCCGAATGCCATGGGAGATGGCTTTCAGCCTCCGAACGAACCCACACGCTGCTTACCTCCAGACAGTACCGAGGTTCTGCAAACCATCTTTCCGGCGGTGTGTTTGGGGACCTATGTGTGCATGGAGTTATGATGTGTACATGTATACATGCATGCATGTATGTATGTGTGCACATATGTATGAACGTACGTCTGCTGGACTGTCTGCCTGCCTGACTACGGTATCTGCACATACTCGTGCGTGGAGATGTATGCTCCGACATGTACAAGTGCCCACACCATTTGTGTTTGTTTATTAATATTTATTAACGATAAGATGCAGGTTTGTGTCAGACCGCGTGTAGGCACATGCTTCGCATGGTTGCAGGAACGCACGAGTTCAAGTATGCTCGAGTGTGCGCAAATGTGCAAGTAGGCTTATGTTTGTCTATGCGTGTATATGTATATGTATATATATATATAGAGGTTCATACTATGTGTATATATATATATATCTGTACACATACATATACTGAAGAAATGAATAGTTAAATGAATCCATAAACATATAGATGTATATATGTACATAAGCACGCACACACACACACATCTTTATATATATATATATAGGTATATAGATATAGATATAGACACAGATATACGTATATGTACTCATACATAGAACGAATACAAAGGTACAAATGTATGTATATATATATAGAGATATGTACATATAAATATACATATACATATGTGTAGACACCTCCCCCCCACCGCGGTCTTGTCCATCGTAAATACCATCAAAAACGTTTCTCGGGAGGGAATCACGTTTGGCATAGTCTTCATGGATGATCTCAAGTGAGATCTCTTTACAAGCCCATGGCGCACGTGACCAACATGAAAATTGCGGATGGCAAGGGAAGAAGTCAGGACGAGCAAGGTGGGGTGGGGCAGGGTGTTGCAGACTGTCAAATGTGCAAGGGCTGATGTGTAAAACTGAATGTCTAACCTTGGCACTAGGGCCTTCTGTTCTCGCTGGCACAGGGCCCCAACTTTTTGCACGTACAGGAATGCACGTCTACATTCCCTTCCACCTGTTGCCCCATAGCTTCGTTGGCATGGCTAGGAACACAAGCGCCTGCGCCCTGCTGTGACTAAAGGAGTGACCCTCTGTTCGGGGAAGTCCATCCACACACACGCACACACAGACACAGAGACAGAGCCCATATTCGTGTGCCTGCTGAGCATGCCAACTGCTTCGAGGTTGTTCTACTGGCTCGCGGCAGCTCGAGCGCAGCTGTGCTGCACGTCCGGGTCTCTGATATCGCAGCATGCCGTAGGAAAGCTGATCTTCTGCAGTATGCATCCGGTCAAGTGCACATACGCAGCTTCTTTCAATCGAGTGTGGATCAATTGACAGGCAGCTCCGCACGTCTCGCCGGCGAAGTTTCTCAGATACAGGCACTGATTAGCACTACGCACATGCATCAACCTTGCTTTGACCTGCTTGTCCTTTGCGATGCGTAGAATCCTTGTGCATCTTTGCTGACAGGTGCCACACCTGGCAGCTGTGGTGCTGCTCCACGCAGTAGCTGAGCTGGCCGAGGTGGCCCTGCACTCGGAGAATCTCCATGCAAGGCCTGCACCCTTGAGAAGAGCATACCCGCCAGCACGGCCAAGGCCCGTGCTCGAAAGCATCGCTTGCCGTTCGGGAGCTCGGGAAGTATGGCTCAGTGATGTTGTAACATGAGCCTTGCTGTTAGCCCCCAACTTCAATCAATGTTCTGAGAAGCCGATGGAGATCGGAGCAGCATGGAGCAGCAGCAGTTTTCATAGAGATTAGGGGCAGTAAATACGCATTTCGACATTTGCTGGATCTCCGCCGGTTTGAACTTGAGGACCCGAATCACCTCATCTTGCAGTCAAATTCGCACTCAAGGTGGCAGATGCAGATCCATGGCGTGCTACGACACTATGACTTGCCAGACCTACTGGCAGCACGACACCGAGCTCAGCAAATCAACAGAATTCTCTTGTTGGCTAGTCTGCTGGGGTTCTCGTTCAAAAGTGTAGGGAAGTTGGGAGTTGATCGATATCGCTGTGCAGCGTTCGCGAATGTCGCGTGGGCCCTGGAATTGGCGGACTTCCGCATGAGGCATCAAGGAGCAAACCTGGGTGGAGGGTGGCATGGTCCGTGGCAAATTAATGGGGAATTCGACGGCAGGCTGAGGTGGAGGGCTCGCGGCTCCTATCAAGTTTTGCCCGTGTGACGGCTGGTCGGCCGATAAGAATCGGTCATGGGAAGATTCTTCACGACTTGACTAGATACTTTTCTTTCGCGCAACAGCTCGCATCAAAGGCCGCGCCAGCCAAGGGAGAAGATTGTAGCATTCCTGGCATCCGTGCCCAGGCCCTTCCGGCATCCGTTTCCGTGGCAGTGGCGAGCCCGCTCAGTGCAAAGCGACGGCGACTGCTAGAGCCTCGGAGCATCTCGGAGCCTCGTGGGTTTGTTGGTGCCAGGAACTCCGAGGATTGGTTGAAGCATTTTCACCCGAGCAAAGCTACCAGTGTTTCAAGCCCAAGCTGAGAAGCCTGGGATGCGAGCAATGAGCATGTCTGATTGATAGGTCCTGGAGGCAAGCCTGGCGAAGCTATCGGCTAGCTGCACGTCGATTCCAAGGCAGAGACCATGCCGTTCCTGGTTTGCCATCGGCATGCACGAATTCCGGCCGATAACGATCGGCAAAGACACGGACATGCTCGTCTTGATCGCTTCGTGTTCCGGGTGTTGGCTGCTAAAGATACTATTCCCATTTTGAGTCCGCTTGGGAAGGCAGGTATGTGTTTTGCTGGGCGGTCTTGAGCCGGTCGTCCTCGCGCACGCAGCTGCTGCAAAGCAACCTCCTGCGCATTCCTATCCATGCATTTGTCAGGCATGCGCATGCGGATCCTGATGGGCAAGGGCCCTGAGATAGGATCCAATGTCGGTACCTCGTCGAAGTCTGTCGTGTTCCTCAAATTCATCGTCATGACCATTTGCACTGGCAAGGGAACGAGCTGAAACCGACGAAGTTGGATGATGAGTTGAATATTAGTAGCAAAAAGAGTCATTGTATCTCAGAGCCGTCATCTTCGTTACGCCCACTGTTAGAAACCTGTCAGTGTCAGTGAACATGTTTGTGCGAACAACCATGGCAGTCGTCATCCTGCTCGTCATCACTCCCACCAAAGTCATCATCACGAGAATCTTCGTCGTCATCGTCGTCAGCATCGCTACAGGTTCTCACATTGCTTCGTAGACGATTGCAGCGGCCGTCTGACTCTGAGGTCAGGACGAGGTGACCTTTCAGATCGCGAGATTCCTGACGGTACTATTTCGAGGCCACGGCTCATTCACGTGCTCTGGAGTCCAATGCCAGCTCTACATCCGATTCAATCTCCCAGCCCGAAGTCCTGTACCTTCACGTTCCAGGTGGTGTCCGCAGGTGAATGCCGACATGCCGGATCCTCGGCTCGCTCGAGATGGAGACGTCCGGAGAAACTTTGGCAACTGGCCTACACTCGTGGATTTGTGTATCATCATGGACTGCGAGCATGGTAGTGAGGAGAAGCGCAGCGATACAATGCTTAGCAAGGATACTGCCTTACGGCGCTATGTAACAGCAGGCACAAGAGAAATCGGAGCATATTGTTGAGGTAATGAGCGTGGTACCGACAACGAACGTCAGGCCAATGGTAGTAACAATTCAACATGAGATTTGATGAGTTTGCTGCAGCCGCTTGCCTCGAGAATCGAGACGAACCGGACGCCTAATTTGGCCATCAGACGAGTCGCAAAGGACTCGAAAGCTTTCTCGTTACCTTGCTTGCCATGTCCGGAAGCCTGCTGCAGCGGCGCAGAAGCTCTGGGCTGAAACCAGCGCCCCTGGACATGCAGCCCAGGCCTTAGACTGGGCTCAGGAAATAACAAGTATCTACATATATATATATATGTATACATATATATATATAGATACATATATATATATGTATATATATATATATATACATATATATATATATGGCGGCCCCTCCCCCCTTCTTCCCCCCTCGCCCCCCCCACTCGCCCCCATGGTTCAGTTTCCCCCCTCCACCCTGTAGAACGGGACATTCTTCCTTCTCCTGCGGCCATATGTTTGCACCCTCCT